TGCTCCCTGAACCCCGGAGAAGAAGAGAGAGAGAGAGAGAGAGAGAGAGGCCATTTTGGCTCAAGTCGACCTGCCGCTCTCTCCTTGTGGGGGGGCGCTTGAGGACGGCCCTCTGAGGCAGCTGGCTGTCCCCAGCTGCCTTGGAGGGTGGACGTTCCTTCAAGCGGAGGGAGGCTTGAGTCTCATACCTGCTGCCACTTTGCTTCAGAGGCCCTGTGGGGGGAAGGTCCTTGGTCGTGCGCCATATCCGTGAAGGTGACGATCGCACACTTCGACCTTGAGGGGATCTCCGTGACTGCAAGAGCTTCATCCTCAGCACTCTTGCCGGGGAGAGCCCGCTCTACTGCCCCCACGACTCCCTTTTGTTTGCCATTACGCCGATCACTCGCTACCCGGGCGCTGGGTGGGGGAGACCTTCAACTACCAGGACGTGACTTTGGCAGGAAGGACAAGATAGTGAAGATCAACCTACCTGGGGATGGCGAAAGAGTGCAAGCTTTGTAAGCTCGGGGATGGTATATGCACCACAGGTTTCCGCAAACAACATGAGCGTGCAGACCCAAACTGCCGACTGCATGGGGTAACGGATAGGGGTAACAGGCCTCGACAGTCCTCAGAAGCCGCATCGAGTACTCAGCCACCCCGCTCAGAAGGGGGAACTGCAACTTCCTCTTTGCGGCCGCTGTCGGAGATGACCCAGTTCCGGACGAGGCAGGGGAACTTGATGTTGTTCACGCCTCAGCCCATGGACAGCTGGATTGGGAAAGAGGTCCTTGAAGACCAGCGTGCGGGGGGATACAAGGATGCCGCCACAGGGAAACTACTTACCCAGAAGCAAGCCAAGTCGTACGCGGCCTTCTGCACAAGGCACACTCGACGCTGCCACGTGGGGGACAAGGTGGATAAGTACCTCCGTTTGGTAGACAAATACCAGCCAAGGGTGTTTGCGGAAGCACGCATCTACGTGGCACGGTTTCCAGAACAAGTGGGGGACTTGCTCAAGCAGATCAAGAAAGTCCGCAAGCGGATCCGCAAGAAGCGGGGGAGAGCAAGACAGCCGAAGCTAAAAACTCCCAGCAGCTCGGGGGAAGCTGCCCCACCAGAGGTGGCTCCGTGTACTTCACCGGACGGGGGGGGGAAGCCGTGACTATGCACAAAGTGAGGGACCAACGCCAGCGCCAAGTCCCGAGCATGCGACAAAAGGGGGCGATGCAGACGCAGCCAGTGAGAGAAGGGAGACCGTGGACGCTGATATGCCACCTGACTGGGGGGATAGCTCCGGTGATGATGCTGCACCGTCATATGACTGGGTTTGGGGAGAAGCCGGCCGCCCCTCTGACCGGGGGGACAGCCCGAGCCACCTTGCACTTCGACCGAGTGAACCAGGTGGTAGACCGCCACCACAGGCCCAGCAACTGGACAGCCACACTACAGAAGGGGGGAATGTCCGCTTGGTTCCCGACGTACAGTGGCGGGGAGTGCAGCTGATACAGGAGCACATGGCAAAAGCTCGTGCGGAACGTGATGCCTTTTGAAGCTGAAGAGGAAGCCTACTCCTGGGGGACTCTTCCCCTTGCAAGTTTGCCCGAGCTTGGTACCGAATGCCTGCTGGGAAAAAAGACACTTCTGAGGGGGACTAGGTGTGAACTTTGTAAACGGCCGTAGTGCCATCTCCGTTCCAACCCATGTATAGGGCCGCTTCGCCCATAATCTTAGTTTCTTTTCAACTCACCTGTAAGCCCAGTGAGAATTCGGGGGATGCCTGAGCCTCAATTCGATTTCTTTCCACCCATAGGCGAACCAAAACCTGCTCGATGAAGCGGGGGGACAATGCACGTTTTTGGCCTCGCATTCCAGTCCTTGGACAGAGTTCCCCGCCGACTCGGCCCTGGCTTTAGTGTTGTGGTACGGTTTTTGTTTGTGCCTGCATTCATGTTGCCGCCGGTTGGGGAGCTCATTTCCGGGGAACTCTTTTCAGTCTTCGTTGTCCTGGTCCGTACTGGCTGCGGGGGATTTTCTTTTCCATGCCCAGCCGAGCCTCCTGGGGCCAAGCTCCAGCGGGGGTAAGTTAAAACCTGTGACCTGCAGGTGCGCGTTCGCGTGCGGGGGT